CTGGGGAATTCTGGGAGTTGAAGTCCACTCATCTTAAAGTGGCCAAGTTTGGATAACACTGTTGTAAAGAATATAATGAAGCAAAGACACGAACCATTCCTTAGGCATCATGCTCATGTTGAAAAGGGTATCTGTAATATTTTGTTAGCCTCTCTACCTCTATGATATCTTAACTAGGTTTGATAGTACATTATTTGAGCAGAACTTCAAAAAGTGAAAGTTTAAGGAAGCCTATGTTAGGCTATTCAGGGGAGCCATTGTATCCTAAAATAAAGATAGGGCTGTGATTTTCAGTATGAAATTTAGTTTATAAAACAGGATATATTCTCCAGTCTTAGAAAGCATGGCCTCTAATGATCCTGTACACTCGTAAAGACAAGCTTCTTTTCTTTCTTGTACTGGCTTTGTGCCATATTTCTCCAACTTCTCTCCTACAGAACAAAGGACAGCATGTATCATGCTCTGACTTATGCTACCATTTTGGAAATGCAGGCCATGATGACCTTTGATTCCAGGGACATATTGTATGCTGGAAACACAATGAAAGAAGCTCAAGTTGTATGTCAGAAGTAAGCCCATAAAATGCAATAACTATACAATTAGTACGTAAGATGTTATAATGTTAATTGGAAACATATTTAAAAAGCCCAATAGACAGTTTGGGGAGCCTGCAGATAGTGTGCATACTGTATGTACATGCTATTCCCTTTCACATAAATGTGATTATGCAAACTACAGAAAAGGGTTAGGAAATAGCAAGCAAAATCAAAGACGTCAGGTAAGAAAGACAAAAAGGACCTATAGCATCATCAGGTGGACCCATAAATATTGATCTCTACTGCCCATCATAGGTTTGTAACACTTTCACATAATACTTTTTTTTTTTTTAGTAAAATAAAGGAGTTAGACTGGCTTACTAGCTTAGCTTTACGTAGATGCTCTGCAGGATCCTAAAGTGGTCAGTTTGGGCACATTGTAGCCACCATGCTATAAAAACAACTAAGGCACAGTTTCACTCCAAGTCTGCTCAAGCTGTTCTAGGCAAGCTAGGTTCTCTAATTTAACAACAGCCCTACAAGTCAACATATTCTTGCCTGCCTTCCACCAAGTGGGAGGTACATGTAATCTGTTGATATACTCAGGGTATGCAAATAGCTTCAAATTTTGTTTTGACAGTTCTGTTAAATTTAATATCGGTTCCCCCCCATTAAGGAGGTCCATCTAGTGGGATCAAGAAGAAGGGCCTTCTCTGTGGTGGTTCCCTCCCTGTGGAACATCACATCCCCACAGAGATAAGACTGGCCCCCACCTTGATACTCTTCTGCAAGGCCCTGAAGACATGG